CAACTATATAAACAAACCTAAGTTTTGTTTTGTAGAGTGGTTAAACTGTTTCTTTTGAATGATGTTTCTTATAAGAATTATCATTTTTTTATATTATTTAATTTGTTGCGTTCTAAGGGTAGCAGCTGATGATGATGGATTCAATTTGTCTTTAATATGATAAGGTGCTTAATGAGTTGGTGGTTTACCTGATTTTAAAAGAGGCATTTGCTACACCAGTTGCAGATTCGTTAACACTTTTTAATAAAGTGGGTCTTGGTTAGGGTACTCAGCAGACGAAACGCGGTATAACCTTTCCAGTTCACATCGGTCTTCTGTGAGGTACTGGTACTTCCCCGGACGGACCTGCCCATTTGTGCAAGAGTGAAGAATGTTGCGTGGTCCTACCACCAATTATGAGTTACATTATCCTCATCAACCTGGTCGAGGAAGGGGACTTAGATACGCCGGACCCACCGCCGGGGGTCCCGCCGGATAACACTACACCCACAGTTAGTGCAACAACAAACATACTAGTTCGCCCTCGCCTCCGAGCACGGCGAGACCAACACAACGCGTACACAAGGTACACCCGCGTTCCAGGGCGGTTCTCACCGCTCCCAGTCACCGATTAGCTAATTTCATAGTCGACGGCCATCGGAGTTTCAGCCCGAACCGCGACCTCGATGACCTTAGACCGCGACTTAGATGACACACCATAGTTAAACGCACGCATGAGCAAATGCGCGGCCCTACCCACAGCGGAGGGCCCAAATCCGTGGGTTCTGGCTAGCCCACCGGTTCTTCGTCAGATGAAGCTTTAATAGTCTCGGGACTCAAAGCAAAAACATCAGTTAATACAAGATACAGAGTTACAATAAGATGAAAGGTAATGTAAATTCTGATACGATAGTATAATGAAATAAAATTTACCATATATATATATATATATATATATATATATATATATATATATATATATATATATTCTATACCCTATAAAGTGTATAAGTTATTTGAAAAGTTTTTAACAGTGATATATAATTTTAAGAAATTACAACACATAACTTGTTGGTTTTCGATTAGTATAGTAGGTTTACCCAGAGCTATGGAATTATTTCATTCAATGGCATCCCCATAAAAATAATATTCTCACAAAAATTGCTCAAAATTGGGTCACTGAGAGAGCACAATGGCAACTCTGCACCAGATTTAAAAATTCTATCTATTCCGATACAGACCAGGCGGTCTTCCTACACTAATAGCGGCATCGGCCACAGAATCGTCAAAGTGTCCGGTAATTAATCGCTGACGTCTTAAGCGGCCGGCGTCCGGTTATCCGTTATTACATTTGTCCAATTACATCATTTCCACGTTGTGGAATTGATAAAATAAAAATAGAGACAGTGACGCGAGACAGGAACGCGATAAGCTGCTACCCGTTTATTAAGTTCATTATGATAGCGGCTGCGATGGCGGGTGATTCGTTACGCTCTATCCGGTAGCAGATTGTGAGGGTACGGTTGGCAGAAAAAGCCATTAAGCTCCTACTCTTATAGACAAAATTACATAAGAGACTATTGAATTCACTTTGCACATTTTGATTTCCTGATTCGACTGTCCCCTTATAGATAGACAATTGTTTGAACTTCTAAGGTTTGTGTTTTAAGTCGCCACTAATACACCCATACAATATCCTGCGATAGGCCACATGGTCTGCCGAAAATTATGAATTACACCTTAACTTTAAGTAATATTAAAAAGGGTGGGAAAAAATTAATAAGAAATGCTAAAGGGGTAATCCAGGATCGAGCAAAATGGTGCCCTAAAGGGCGAAAATGGCCAGGTTGAGGCAGAGACCTGCAATAGTATACAGCGTGTCGTTACCAACGCGACAATAAATGAACACACATATAGAGGATAACTTTTTAAAATTGTATCAAAAATTTACATTCTTTAAACATCAATATTTACAGAGTTATTAAATTTTCCAAAACAAAGAATTTTAGAACAGCCTTACGTATAAAACTGTAACGTAAAGTTCATTTGTCAAGGTCACAAAGCATATGAATGGGTTGAAGGAATTTAAAAGAGACAAAACATACTGTTAGAAGGAGAGCCTTGTAATGCGGCGCTGTGGCAACGAATGAAGAAGTCTCTGAATGTATGAATCAGTCAGTTGTAGTTGTATAGGATGTTACAAATTTTGTTTCTTTTTTATTTAATTAGTTTGTTTGAAAAATATTTCCTTTTAATTATGAATTTTTTTTAACGTTAATATTTTTTTATGATTATTGGCAAGTAGCGTTAGACGTGTGTTCATTTATTGTCGCGATGGTAACGACACGCTGTATATAAAAATAGTTCACATATGAATTTTGTTGAGTTTTTAAAATCTATACATATGAATAAATTTGGAGTGTCTGTTTGTAATATTAAAATAACCGCTTTTTACTAAATGCATATGGATGTAATTGTATACATAACAAAATGTTATTTTGGTATGTACACACGGTATATATACCAAAATAACATTTTTTACAAGCTTTGTCTGTCTGTCTTGTTTTGTCTGTTTGTTTCGTCTAATCTCTGAAACTTGAACTTTCGATTTGGACGGGAATTTCACTGACAGATAACTGATGTAATAAGGAGTAACTTAGGCTACTTTATTTTAGATTCTTTTTTATTTTAAATTCCATGCGGACGAAGTCGCGGGCACAGCTAATGACATCTTTAATAACATTTTTTATAAGGATTTTTTGTATTTAAGCTATTATAATAATCATTCAAAATTGTAGCCCGGGCTAACTATGGCATTAGCCAGCATGGCCAGTATCCATCCAATACATTGGGAGTTGATTGGTTGAAATCTACAAAAAACGTTAAATAAAATTAGGTAAAATTTTTTTTAAAAAAAAAAAACCTCAAACACTGTCATGTTGTCGGTACCCATCACGTATATCAGACTTTAGGCAGCGCACCGATCGGTTGCGGGGGCAAATGATATACTTTTGACGGCGGCTGAGATATTTCAAGGTAGATAATATTGGAGTCGACGCGGTCTCTGCTCGCGGCGAGATAAAGCGGCTAATGCACCCCGCTCCGTAATTCGAGAGCGGAGCGCTGTTAACGCGATGTGATGGATTATTTTAATTGCAAGTCTAAATGTTCACGATGTAAAGTGTGGATAAACGTACAGTTGTGATCACAACAAGGGTGATACGTTGAATTGTGGGATTGGCACGCGTATGTTGTATTGGTCGAGTTGTGTTCAGTTTTCATTATACTTGTCAATGTTTGAAAAATAATATATTACTGAAAAGAAAGAAGGAAAAAAAGAAAATACATTTATTTACCAAAAAAAAAACGCACACAATAAAAGAGAAAAAGAACTAATATTAACAAAAAATAAAAGAAATAAAAAAATACTTAGAAATAATTCAGTAAAGCAAAGGAACACAAATACTATTTCAGTAAATTAGGTTAGCAGCTCAGCATTATGCTATGCCAGAAGTCAAAGCCCCAACACAGCGCTGATTTTCAGTGCTAACCTTCTAGCTTCGTAATACTTCGATGCCTTACTGACCCATACACAGCAAAGTAATACTAATACCCATTATTATTTAACTTATTAACATTAATTGTACAACAAAAGAATTGTAACAAAAAAATATTGATATTTTTTAAGTATTTCAAAGACGTGAAATGTCGAATAGACTAGACCGCTATAACGTGACTATGTCTGGATGCGTAGTACGGAAGCCGCAGGCTCGAATCTTGCGGCGAAAAATTTTGCGACAATTTTAGGTACAGTTTTTTAAGTTTCATGTTAAGTGATAAGCACTTAAAAATTTAGCCATTTTAAAAATATTAGTAAAAAAAATTTTAACTTGAGAATTTCATGTAGGTACCTAATGTCAATTACAATGGTTGGCAACATGATCGATTTTTAAACTATTTTAGAGCAACTAAAAGAGTAATAAATGAATAAACAAGCCAGCCGCTGACATACAAAAGATAAATAAAATACGCATTAAATTTTAGAGACAAGGTAAATGGAAGTTAATTTAACTCACAACATCATAACATTTTCCAGAAATGTCAAGTGCCAACTACATCACTTAAGGTTTAATATTGAGGTTTTCATTATTTCGAGAGCTTTCTACAGAATAAAGTGTTTGCTCGATTACGAACCTATTTAAATATCAGCACGAAGGAATTTCAACTCTATTACAATGGGATGCGAAATGCCGCGGGGAAACTTTTAGTTTTCGGCCACTCCGTGCTCGGGAACGCTTTGAGTGCACAAAGTACTTACCCTTTGATCTTGTATTAAGTGATCTGTCAATGTTACATACATTATCTTTCGAATGGATGTTTATTCGATAATGGGTACACGAAAAGGTGAGTTCTCCGATGTTTCTTCTATTTTTATTGATACGTTACGATATTAAAACAACGACCTTGCCGCTCCGTGTTTCCGGAACGGAGTCTTAGCGATTGCTCGATTAGTTATTGCTGTGGATTAGAAAGCTTTTTTTGATGCTCTGTTGTAGGGCTATATCATTAGATAACAGTTGCTGACAACGTGCATTGATGGTGATATTTCGGTACTATCCTTTTTGCCTCTGACAATGTGCATTGATTGACTGAGATATTTCGATACTATCCTTTCTGAAGCTATACTTTTTTTGGCGCGTTTGAAAAAAAAATATGAGAGTACAATTTTGCCGGCCAAATGCAGTTGGTTGCAATGTTTCGATACTTCGATTAACTTCACGGTATCACCATGACAACCAACTTTTTGAAATTTACCCATAATTTCAAGTTATTTAATTCAACCGCTATCCATTACAATTGATGTCTTGAATAGTCATGAACCGATACAAAAGATAAAATTTTGAGTAATTTTTCTTTTGTGACGCTAAAGCAGCATAACTCCTAACGTGCGTACATAAGTTCAAACACATTTTTTTCTATCGAAAAGTAGGTAAAGCATAAAGCGTTTTAACTCATCGGCAATGCAACCGTCGATGGTAAGCGCGCTAGCTGAGTATCTATTCACCCTTGCCTTGGATACGCCTACGTTACAATCGGATGGAAAGACGGACGTCGCCAGGTTGTTCCATACCTTAGATGTACGGATGAATGTCGAGATTTTTGGCCACCTTTACCGGGTAGGAAGTGACGTAGAGTTTCTCTCTGACTGGGGGACCCGGAAGCGGAAAGTTTGGATTCGGCCCGGTGACCAAGGAATGCGCTCCGCATCCACCAGGCCACTGAACGCGTACGAAGTGCGTTCGTTAGCGTGCGATATCTCAGCGTAATCCCGTTCCGCATAAATCATGCCTTTGATCCCGAAAGCATGACTCCCAGTTAGCATTCAGCGTCTCTCGCGTAACCGATTTATATCGCCCGCCGATTATTTACGGCGCGTCTCGCGTATCTGTACATTTAAATCATCGTAATTGACTGTTTCGTACGCGCTGCGGATTTCTTAATAGTGATAAACACCGTTCGCATATTTCGCCCGCGCTTATTTCGAGTTAACTGAGTGCGATTTATGACCTCCGTTCGAGTTATTGCGATCCCTCGTTGCGTGTTTCACTCGATTTATTTATATCGAACATTTTGCGGCTTCAGGAAGTTTCCTCAAATATTAGTAGCTCTATTTTAATTGAGTTTTTAATAGGATAACTTCACGCGTTCTCTTTGGCCGTTCGGGACGGAAGTCTGTCCCAAGACTATGCATGCTGTAACGTATGACCGTAGACACCAACCAACCAACCCTTCTTAAAACACTCTAAAACGACATACACAAATAGTTCAATTTAATAATGGGGTGTAATCGTGTAATGAATAAAATAATAAAAAAAATTAATCATTAGATACCAGACGTGATAAAATATAAAACAAAATCTTTTACATCTTTTTTTTTCTGCTTTTGTAGATCAAGCATTAAAATGTGACTCCTAGCATACTAGAAATCATTTTCTGTTCAATTTATATATCGTGGCAGTTTCGTTTGATATGCGCCGACTCTTTAAATGGGCATGGACGACTGTCAATCTCTTTTAAGGAATGCCGCATTGCAGGACTGTCCGATGTACATATCACAAGTCAAAATAACAAGGTTGACAGGTTGTAGAAGCTAAATAGTGGAACAAACTCCTTTACTGGTCACTCGTCCCTTTATTTCAATGTTAGGTTCTTTTAAATTTTAAAATATGAAAGCAACGTTAAGATCCGTAACCGCTCTACTTGAATTCCATATTACGACATAGTTGTACCTACAAGTATACGGTTGAGAAAGTTTATTATAAACCACCACGACGAGTTCTCTATAAGCAATCAATTCGGTTAATCAATAATCAAAATTTTAAGGTTACCTCGAATAAATTGCTACCTTAGTAATAAGGCAGCCTATATGTACACTATGTTTCCTATATTTTCTTTCTATGCATTTCCTTGTTTAATTCTATTCTATCCTATTTTATTTGACGACCCAATTGGCGTGGGGAGTAGCGTGCCTCTTGCGTCCAGGGGCTCAAATAGGAGTCGTGCTGTGTAAAAGAGTTAGGGGCGGTAAACAGATGTCGTGTCATTCGCCCTCTAAGAGCTAACAAGAATTGTTCGCGTCGCCATTACGAAAGCGGTGACCGTCTTACGACGTTATTACGAGAGCACTCGCTTCTAATAACGGCGACGGCGTAATGATACGGCGTGGCGCGTAATACTAGCCCGCGCCCCGGCTTTCCGCGTCAAATTATACATCTCCCCAGCCCCCGGCGCGGCCCGTTTATTACTATCCACTTAGCTGTTGATTTTTTTACGATGATCGCCCGTAATAACAAGCCGGGCCGCGTCGGTTTGGCCCGGGCGACTTTATACCCCGCTGATTATATGTGTATAGCTTAATAGCCACGTCTGCCATTCGCTCAACTTTTTTTATTGGCGAGGCGACGCTGAGGAAATGCACTTGCGGTCAGCCGAGCGCAACCTCTGATAAAGGATCCTTACTTCGGCAATAATTTAGTGCTTCAAATGACCCAAACACCTTACTTGTTATATACTTAAATCTTTAAAATATTAAAATGTAAGCTAGGCAATCAATCACTGATATTGTTGTAGGGCCACGTTACTGCCTCCGCTGTTGCACAAATGGGCAGGTCCGTCCGGGTAAGTACCACGACCTTACAGAAGACCGGCATGATGCTGTACTGTTTGTTATACGTCTGTTGTATGGTTATTAAAAGGTGCCCTATTAAAAGGTGCCAACGCATCTGCAACCCTACGAGTGTTGCAAATGTCAATGGATTGCGGCTAACAATTAACGTCAGGTAAACCGCCAGCTCGTTTGTCGTCTTCTCACATAAAGATTAATAATAAATTATTGATATTATTATATTTTAAATATCTATTTGAGATACATGATATGTACCTAACATACAGCGTAAATATATAAAAACCGGATGCTATATAAATACGTTATCGCCGTAACGCGTTTCCGTTGCATTACCGTCATCCAAAGCATTCCAGTTACCCCCTCAGTCGCGTCTAAAGTTTTGCTTCAAAACGAACTAGCACCTTCAACATTCGACTCGGACAGTTCCTTATAATTATTACGTCGACAGAATTTCGGGCGAGCAAACACGCCGCGGAGTGTTTACATGCGGCCGAGCACTCGAGCGAGTCACTCGACCGCGCCACGGTAGCGGGCGAGTGTCTTGTTTTGACAAGCTGCTAAGCAAACAGCTCCGTCGGGTGCGACGGAATAATTGTACGCTATTGTCAGTACGGTGCTTTAGTGTTGCGCCGAATCCATCCAGTTTTAATCTAAAAATCGATGGTTGCGTCACAAAAGCCTTTTATCATGACTGTAATGACTTCCAGTGCTGCAAATTTATTGAAATAAAACTTCTTTACGCACGTTTGACTTGAGGTATATGTTGGTGAATGAGTGAGCGTTGCGAAAAGTGTGATCGGCAAGGCGAACGCGTTACGAAATGTGTGATCGGCCAGTGTGAAGTTTTTTTACAGACTTTTTCATTCGTGTGGTCTAATTTTGTTTCTATAATTTTTACGCCATCAGGTACCAAATTAATTGAAAAAAATGGAAAATAAAAATTTGCGAATATCTTGGCAAATGCGTCACGGAGTCGATTCGACGGTTGATGCCGATATATTGCAATACTCAGTAAGGTCTTGGAGACCTGTACATGTGTTAACAATTTGAAGGGTTGATATTGCATTTATGGTTACTTTATGTACCGTTATCGTCTTGGTACTGTAAAGATCGACAGATAGAAACAGAACAGAAACATGTAGGCGTGTATCTTAAATAACCTTTACAAAAACGAATAAAACAAAGAACACAGGGCCGAGAGAATGAAACAGGTTTTTCAATAATACCTTATCCCCTTTAGTATGAAATGGGATAATTGCGATTGTTCTCCATGCGTTTAGAGTTTAACCACTATGAAGTTTGAGATAAATAAAGCGTAATTTTATGTGATTATAATGCTATTTGAGCGTACTGTAATGACTTTGACGCCCACAGTAATGTTTAAGAGTGCATTTAGTTGCATACTGTGTATGCACTTCGTAGCGGAGCTATAAATTAAAACGGCAGCAGTTTTTTTGCGACGTTTCGCCGCAGCGCGCTTTTTCGGTTGCCTCCTGTTTTATTTATCGCTTCGCAACCATTAACAGTGGCATACAAGGTGGACGGCGGGCTTCGTTAGTCGATTACCATAAAAAAAAAAAATTCCCAACAGCGCATTTGTTGTGCGTATTAATAATTCAATTCGCGATAGAGCGGACCATCGTTTGCGCTATCGACGCGGCTATCGAATATTCATGCAATTTGTAAGCGCAGCGCTATCGCCGGTCCTGAAAAAGTGAGGGGCGTTTCATCTGATAGGAGCATACATTGTATTTTGTATTGTTATGTATCACTTGACCTTATCCGACGACGACTACGCGGTGGTCTGAATACCTCGCCTCAGTTAGGAAGTGATACAATATCGCATATAAAGAGATTCGCGGGAAAAGTCTTGTGATATTTCAATTTGAATATAAACTAAGTTGCATATTTGAATTAGAGTTTTTTTTTTGAGAAACATTAAATTTTTCGTTCAAAAAATATTTACGATGCCGAAAGTAAACTAAATGAAATGTTTTCGGACAAGCCTAGTCCCACTTAGATATTGAGGATTATAAAGGCGTCTTGCTTTCAAGGTCGGCTGGTTTAAAAAAATTAAAAATATCTGATTTCAAATAGACGATTACGCGTTCTTATAAAACGTCGAATTTTACATTAAAATTAATACATAAGTTCGTAAGTAAGGTAGTACCGGTTCGGAAAGAAGTTGAGAAGAGACCGGCAAGAGACTCGACAGTTTAGCCTACGTGAGTATCAACAATATTAATTTCAGACATTGGCGTCATCAAGATATTCCGCAACGGTCGGTATAAGCATTCCATTACGGATTGAATTTAGAAAATTTTTATTTTTTTTATTTTATTTCAAACAAAATCCACAGAATCCAATAGAATCATTGATTAAGAAAGCACGACCATGGCCAAGCAGAGTCATGGTCGTAGCTTCTAAAATTTATCTTAAAATATCATATAAATAATAAGTATAACATATAAACAAAATATAAATTTATGTAATGGATATCGATACAATTGTGAAAAGATCTCTATTCTAATAAAATGTTGATGTAGCTAGATGAATAAATTATATCGATATAAGTCAATTATATCGATAAATCAGGTACGTGACTAAAAGCGATAGAAGCCGTTCTCTGTGATCGATGATCGACGCGAGACATTTGACTTAATCGTGTTTACACAGTTCACAGTCGATATGGAAAAATTTTCGAAAGCCGCGGGTGGCCGGCTACTGTTTGCTTTTCGCCTATGATTTGGATGGCCCTTGGCTCGCCACTCGATCGCCTTCGCCGTCACTGCCGTTCCAAAGTGAGCCTTGTGTAAAAGGCACAGAGTCGAAGAATAAAGGGCGCTGCTTTTACAATCGTAAGTTGATATGTTCGTCGAAATTTAATTTTTAAATAGCGGCAAAATTTGCTTACATTCAAAAACATAAACCCAAGTTCAAAATGAACTTTTCTAAGAATTATTTTTAATTTATTTTATTTGGTCCACAAAAGAGTACAGTAACATACATATTTAACACAGTTATGTTAACAATTAAAAGAATATAGTATTTCTAAGACATGAAACCAAATAGGTATGATTTCCCGATTTTCAGTACATATCAAAAATTTAAATTATAAATAACAAAGTAGACTAAGGT